TTGTCCAACAGATGCAGAGTGTTGTGCAGGCGTGGCGGGAGAGGAGGGTGGGGGACGCGCGACATGGAAGACCACCGACGCTGGCGCTACCGTGGCGCATCAGCGCGCAATTTTTGATGATCAAAGTGCCCAATTGGTATTGTGGCGCTTGATGCGAGATTTTAGGGTTTGCGCGAGGAGGACCCGCCATTCGTGCTCCCTCCCCTCCCTCGCTGCGCTCGGGGGGTCCCCCGAGCCGGGAGCACTCAGGCGGGCACTCTAAAGCCTCGTTCGCGCGATAAATACAGACGGCCTCCCCTCTTGGGGGAGGAGGAGTTGTGAGCAAAGCCTAACCCAAACCCAAGCCCAAACCCGAACCGAACCCAAACCCGAACCCTAACCGAACCCTAACCGAAACTCTAACCGACGCGTATCACTAAGACCGCGTGGGTTGGGAGGTTTGATACCTCCCTGGCCCGATATCCCAGAGGTTTGCAAACCTCGTTGTAGTCTCTACATCGACCTGATTCAAATCTCGCATAAATACACTGTGATCGAGGACGTCAATGCGGGTAGGGATATTGACTCCCAACACAGATCAGTACGTTCTCCACCAAGGTCTCTACCATACAATCCCTCTTACGCTGTCTCTTGCAAAACCTAGAACATGTCTATTACGACAGCGTTCTCTTTTACGACGACAGAGTCGCGCATTCTCTGTTTTACAAGCCGCAACATGGCAACCGCACTATCGAGGTCCTTTTCCCTACCGACCCGTAGCACGACTCTCGTGATTGTCCATAATATTATCAGCACTACCACCCCTCACCGTTTTCTTAGCGGTACAAACTCAGGCTTCCTTCTGGATCGTTAGGCGAGATCACTTGCTGTATTTATGTCTACGACACTCCTCGACAAGCGCACCGATGACGACCGCGCGATGCGTATGTCGCTCCTGATTTCGCCTAGCTGAGTCCTCCGGGCGAAAGACGAGCTTCGTGGTAGTGGCTCAGGTGGTGTGGTATTACTTGTCTATGTTATCGGAGGTTCGGTCCTCGCCATGCAAGCTATCGACAAGGTGAGCTCCAAGAGACGAATCCATCTCCCAGTCCGCGTCGAGCAGCACGTGCTGCAGAGGCCCAGCGGTAATCCCTTCATCCAGCTGAGAAGCATCTTCAAGTACGCCGAGCTTGTTTGTCTATTAAAAGTCAGCCTCGTTTTCATTGATATATTTGGGACCTACTGACCAAAGACGTAGAAATATGCGCCTAGAGCCGACCTCACTAGAAGGTGTTGATGGTTCTCCGCTGTATGCGAGGACTCCTCGAAGCAGGCGACCTGACTAGCACTCAAGGCGCAACCCTTTTGCAGGGTCATGCAATACTTTTGTCTCGTATCTCGATCTCATACAAGCTGAGTGTCTTCTGATTCCCGCGGGTGTAGTGAATCGGAGAAGTTTTCCTTACAGGGAAAGGGCGCAGAGAGAGATATAGCCTACGCTCTGACGGAATGGTATGTGACCTGTACAGACTGGGTTTGCATATTTCTCGAACGACGCTCTTTCGGCGGCGGCGCTTGCCTGTCATCGTACGGTAAGGACAACCTTGCGAGCCCGGACAGCAAGACGAGCCATGGTTCTGTTGCACATCACCCGCGCTTTGATCTTCGCTGAGCCGCAATGCGCCCATGTCGTTCCGCAGTACTGGCCAAATTCAGGCACTTCCTGCTGATGTCAAGCTCTCATCGCCCCCAGCGATGTTCTCAAATCCGGCATATAGCTATCGAGAGTTTGGAGTCAAAGCTGCGCATGCTTGAGCGCAGCAACTAGCCGATTGGTGGGATAGCGCAAGATGGAGCATGGCAGTAGGCGTGTTCAATTCTTGTCGCTCGCTCATTTCCTCGCGCGCTTAACGGGCGCCTGCCTACCTGGATTCAAGGTCAGATAAAGCGCCTGTAGCACAGCAAGCAGAGGGGGGCAGGCGGCGGGTGCAACATGACCACATGAGGGTCGCGAGCTGGGACTAAGGAGCGCCGCGAAAACTTGATGATTCGAAATCTAGAGAGCTCTATGACTCGAGACGCGGAGTCGTCCCGCAAGGTTTTGGGTCCAATTGCCATCAGGCTTACAGCGGCAACCCCAGGTGAACCGTATGTATGTCGTGCCGAATCTGGTTCGGATTTGGGCGCATTGTGTACGATTATTCTCGAGCAACGAGTCTATAACGCTCTCCCGATGTCTCCATCCACTCTCCGGACAGGTTTTCAGGGTATAACAAACCTAGCATAGGACGATCCCGTCGAGCTCGCTGCACCCGCTGCCTGCGCACCTCTGCTCGCTTTGCTACAGGCGCTTGAGCTGACCTTGAATCCAGGTGGGCAGGCGCCCGGTAGGCGCGCGAAGAAATGAGCGAGCGACAAGAGTTGAACACG